TCTTCCCTGGGGGTGTTTTCCCCCTTTCCCGGGGGGTTTTTCCCCCTTTCCTGGGGGTTGTTTCCCCCCTTTCCTGGGGGTGTTTTCCCCCATTTCCTGGAGCTGTTTTCCCACATTTCCTGGGGGTGTTTCCCCCCTTTCCTGGGGGTGTTTTCCTCCTTTCCTGGAGCTGTTTTCCCCCTTTCCTGGGGTTGATTTCCACCCTTTCCTGGGGGTGTTTTCCTCCATTTCTGGGGGTGTTTTCCCCCATTTCCTGGGGGTAACTTTCCCTATTTCCTAGTGGATTTTCCCTCTTCCCTGGGGGTGTTTTCCCCCATTTCCTGGGGGTGTTTTCCCCCATTTCCTGGGGGTGTTTTCCCCCATTTCCTGGAGCTGATTTCCCCATTTCCTGGGGGTGTTTTTCCCCTTTCCTGGAGCTGATTTCCCCATTTCCTGGGGGTGTTTTCCCCCAGTTCCTGGAGCTGTTTCCCCCCTTCCCTGGGGGTGTTTCCCCCCTTTCTTGGGGGTATTTTCCCCCCTTTCCTGGAGCTGATTTCCCCATTTCCTGGGGGTGTTTTCCCCCTTTCCTGGAGCTGTTTCCCCCCTTTCTTGGGGGTATTTTCCCCCATTTCCTGGAGCTGATTTCCCCCTTTCCTGGCTGATTTTCCCCCTTCCCAGGGGCCGATTTCCCCTCTCCTGGAGCCCTCACCAGCTCGAGGTTCTGCCGGTTGCCGTAGGCGGCCGCGTAGTGGACGGCGGTGTAGCCCTGCTTGTCCCGCAGGGAGGGGTCAGCACCGTTGTCCAGCAGGAATTCCAGACAGCTGCAGTTGGGAAAAAGGACAAAAAAAAAACGAAAGAAAAGGGTGAAAAAAATCTGTAGGGAAAACCCCAAAATCCCACAGCGGGTGCTGGGAGTGAGGGGGGTGGGTTTGGTTTGGAGCAGGTGGTTCCTCTCCCGAGGCTCTGCAGGGAGGAATTCCCAGCAGATTCCCAGTAAAACCCCAATAAATTCCCAGTAAAACCACAATAAATTCCCAGTATATTCCCAGTAAAACCCCAGTAAATTCCCAGTAAATTCTCTGTAAAATCCCAGCAAAACCCCAATAAATTCCCAGTATATTCCCAGAAAAACCTCAATAAATTCCCAGTATATTCCCAGTAAAAACCCAGTAAATTCCCACTATATCCCCAGTAAAACCCCAGTAAATTCCCAGTATATTCCCAGTAAATTCTCTGTAAAATCTCAGTAAATTCCCACTTAATTACCAGTCCATTCCCAGTTAATTCGCAGTCCGTTCCCAGTTAAATCCCAGTTAATTCCCAGCCCATCCCCGTTAAATCCCAGTTAAATTCCAGTCCACCCCAGTTCAATCCCAGTCCCTTCCCAGTCCATCCCAGTTCAATCCCAGTTCAATCCCAGCCCATCCCAGTCCATTCCCAGTCCATCCCAGCCCATCCCAGTCCATTCCCAGTCCATTCCCAGCCCATCCCAGTTCAATCCCAGTCCATCCCCAGTCCATCCCAGTCCATCCCAGTCCCTCCCAGTCCATCCCAGTCCCTCCCAGTCCCTCCCAGCACTCACAAGAACGCCTCCTTCAGCCTCGACTCCTTCAGGGGCTCCTCCTCGCTGGGTCCTGAGTGAGCCTCGGCCCTGCAAGGGCACCGCTGACAGTGACCATGGGGACAGCACAGTGCCACCCCCAGTGCCACCTCGGGCTGGTGACAGTGCCCCCAGGAGCTGGTGCCAGTGCCCCTGTGCCCCTGGTGCCAGCTCAGGCTGGTGACAATGTCCACAGCGCCACTCCTAATGCCACCAGGTGCCACCTCAGGCTGGTGACAACCCTCCCAGTGTCCACAGGAGTTGGTGCCAGTGCCCGCAGTGCCATGTCAGGCTGGTGCCAGTGCCCACAGTGCCCCCCCAGTGCCACGTCAGGCTGGTGGCAGTGCCCCGGTGTGCCACCTGAGGCTGGCGCCAGTGTCCCTGGTGCCTCTAGGTGCCACCTGAGGCTGGTGCCAGTGCCCGCAGTGCCACGTCAGGCTGGTGCCAGTGCCCCCAGTGCCCAGTGCCACGTCAGGCTGGTGCCAGTGCCCCCAGTGCCAGCTCAGGCTGGTGACAATGCCCACAGTGCCACTCCCACTGCCACCTCAGTGCCACCTGAGGCTGGTGCCAGTGCTCGGTGCCCCCAGTGCCACGTCAGGCTGGGTGGCAGTGCCCCGGTGCCCCCAGGAGCTGGTGCCAGTGCCCCCAGTGCCACCTGAGGCTGGTGCCAGTGCCCGCAGTGCCACGTCAGGCTGGTGCCAGTGCCCGCAGTGCCCCCGCAGTGCCACGTCAGGCTGGTGGCAGTGCCCCGGTGCCCCCGGTGCCCGCGGTGCCCGCTCACCTGCGGTAGGTGTCGGAGGCAGCCGCGTAGTGCAGCGCCGTGCAGCCTTTGCCGTCGGCCTCGTTGACGGCGGCCCCGGCTGTCACCAGTGTCACCGTGCACTGGTAGCTGCCGTTGGCCGCCGCGTAGTGCAGGGGGGTCCTGGGGACACGGCAGGGGACAAAGGGTCAGCACGGCCTCGGGGACACACCCGGAGCCGTGGGGACCTTCCAGGACCTGCGGGAGCTCAGCACACCCTGAGAATCCTTCCAGGACCCAGCAGAACCCTCCCAGGACACCCTCAGAACCCTTCCAGGACCTGCAGGAGCTCAGCACACCCTGAGAATCCTTCCAGGACCCAGCAGAACCCTCCCAGGACACCCTCAGAACCCTTCCAGGACCTGCAGGAGTTCAGCATGCCCCCAGAAGCCTTCCAGGACCCAGCAGAAGCCCAGAACATTCTGGAAACCCTTCCAGGACCTGCAGGAGCTCAGCACACCCCCAGGACCTTCCAGGACCTACAGGACCTCAGCACGCCCCCAGGACCCTTCCAGGACCTGCAGGAGCTCAGCACACCCCCAGAACCCTTCCAGGACCTGCAGGAGCTCAGCACGCCCCCAGGACCCTTCCAGGACCCAGCAGAAGCCCAGAACATTCTGGAAACCCTTCCAGGACCCTCCCAGGACACCACAAGAACCCTTCCAGGACCCTTCCAGAACCTTCCCAGGACACTTTGGGAACCTTCCAGGACCTGCAGGAGCCCAGAACACTCCGAGAACCCTTCCAGGACCCTCCCAGAACCCCCCAAGAACCCTTCTAGGACCTTCCCAGGACACTCTGGGACCCTCCCAGGACCCTCGAGGACACTTTTGGGACCCTTCCAGGACCTGCCGGGGTTTGGAGCCCCCATCCTGGGGCTGTCCCAGGCAGGAGCGTTGGTGTCCCTCAGGAACCCAGAAATGTCCCCAAGCCCAATCAGGGATTTGGGGACACTGGGATGTCCCCACCCAGGTGGCCCCAGCTCTGGGATCTGGGGACACCAGGATGTCCTCACCCAGGTGGCCCCGATCTGGGATTTGGGGACACCAGGATGTCCCCAGCCAGGTGGCCCTGGGGTCCCTCACCTCCCGAACTTGTCCCTCCTCCGCAGGTCAGCGCCGCTGCTCAGCAGCAGGTTCAGACATTCAACGTTCCTGCAGGGGACAGGGACACAGGAATGTCACCAGGCCACCCAGAGTGTCCCCATGTCATCCAGAGTGTCACCAGGCCTCCCAAAGTGTCTCTCAGGAACCCAGAAATGTCCCCATGACAACCAAGTGTCACCATGCCACCCAGAATGTCACCATGCCACCCAGAATGTCCCCAGGCCACCCAGAGTGTACTTCAGGCACCCAGGCTGTCCCCATGTCCCCAGGTGTCCCCACAGGCTGTCCCCATGTCCCCATGTCCCCACCCTCCGGAAGCAGCAGCGTGCAGACAGGTCCTGCCCAGGCTGTCGGGGCTGTCCCCATGTCCCCAGGTGTCCCCAGGTGTCCCCATGTCCCCAGGTGTCCCCATGTCCCCATGTCCCCATATCCCCATGTCCCCATATCCCCATGTCCCCAGGTGTGTCCCCATGTGTGTCCCCATGTCCCCAGGTGTGTCCCCATGTCCCCATGTCCCCATG